AACAAAACTTCTTTCAGTTAGTAAACTCCCTATGAAACAGATGGATTTCACAGTATGCATTGCATAGGACAAACAATTGAGATGTCTTAATATTTTCTTAACAAATTATGTTTTAATTTATCGCTATGCTTAAGCAATTCTCTGTTTAAATTATTACACTATTGACTCATTTCTACTCTGTGTAAAGTAGTAGTAAAATTAAAAGGTGAAATTAAAGAGCGATATGTGGAGTAAATATTTTTCTCTTTTTCTTCTTGGAAGTCATTTGTGTATTGTGCTATGAAACCCATAACACTCAGAATAGATGATAAATCAATAAAATGTCACATCATGCTTCAGTTAAGTGAGGGTACCACAGTATAATTTAAAAATGAAGAATGTATAAAACAGATAAATTTAATGCCATTTTCAGCTCATTGCCTTGAGAAAATATTATTCATAAATAGATTTCAGTGTCTTTTAACACTAACAAAATTAGCTCACATGTATTCAAACAGGAGAGTAGATAGTTTCCAAGGAACAGGCAGCATGTGCACAGTTCATCAGAAGGTGAAGGATTGGGAACCAAGTTGATCATAACTTTTTTAGAGTGTTTTCAAACCCATGGAATTTTTAGCCAAGTACCACTGCTAGCTCACTGCTACAAGTTTATGAAAAGCAGAATTAGTTGGCTTTCTCAGAACTTAATTTTTATCTTTTGCAACAAAACAGATGAACTGGAGACCATTACGCTTCATGAAATAAGCCATATAGTAAAGACACATATAATGTGTTTTCTCTGATTTGTGGTAGTTAATACAAAATATAAAAGAACCTGCCACAAAACCCTTAATATATAGGAATGAAGCTGATTTGATTGCTGTTTATAGCTCTTATCTGTGGTAATTCTATTTTTTAGTTGTTGAACTCTTTATTCAGTGGAGCATTAAGCTTGCAATTATGAAGTGAATTGAAAGTATCAAAATTAAAAAAAAGGAAGGAAGAGGGATGTGGAAAGTTTTATATTCTTAGAACTGTATCAAGTACAAAAATCACTGCATATTAATAAAAATGTTAAAAATTATTTCTCTTATCAGTGGTCCTTTATTACTTAACCACAGTAATTTACTGTTTTTTCCTGAGGTTGAACTTTATAGAAATTTGAAAAAATTCCAGAAAAACTATGAAGGCAACACAAAAAATCACTATGTATTTTAAAGACAAATGTTTATTTCTTTCACCCCTTTTCAGACATACTGAATGAGTTTTTAAATAACTTACTAGCTAAAGCTTCAGGATTAGTCTTTTCATCTTTAGTAAAGGTTAATTATTCAGTTCAAATCTCTTCTAATGCATTTTTGTCATTTTTAAAACTTCTTTTGGGTATTAAGTTTTAGTTATGATTAGCAACTACCCACTTGCATTCTCCTGTTTTAATATAAAGGCACTTTCACAGTTGTCTTTATTTATGTATTTTTAAAAGCTTTGATCTAATACACACAGCTGTCCTCATCCTATATTAGGTTTGCCCGACAATGTTTACTACTATTATAAAGAAGAAGTATTGTACAGATCTTTATAAACATATTAAGTACATTATGGAATTCTGTGGCCCAATAAACAAGTTATTTCTCTATTTTGAAATCATATGCAATATTCTACATGTTTATGTAGCCATATCACAGTAGCATCAAAGTATTGCTACGAACTGAGTTTTCTAGAATGCCAAAGCTGATGCTGCGATAGATCAATTAAAAAGAACTCGAATCATTTTAAAGAAATCCTGAATTGCAATATGTTCTTCAGTGTTGTATTGGGCACAGAGTATGAAATAAACCAGGCTTTTTATAAGAACCAGTAATATAAAAATATTCTGTAGTGTGTCATAATGTATTGTGCCTAAAATAATGTGAGTTTAACTGTCAAAACAGCTTTAGTGGCTCACTCCTTGGAGACTCTTATTTTTCTTTTGATTTTAGCTGATTCTTTTATGTGTGGTTTCTCTCCATGTAATGAGTCATTGTTGTACTTTTAAAACATAGAAAAATGGAAAGCAGCTATGGTTCACATCTTGTCAAAGGAATCTTATCCTTTTTCATAATTCTAAGTCAGAATGCTCCCAAGTATGTTTATTTGGTTAAATTTATCTGAAATTTGAAAATAGTAACAAAGTCAAAATTTCATAACTATTACCCAATAAATTCAGAGGAAAAGTAAGAGAAGTAAAGCACAAAGGAAAAAAATACACCATTATAATTTCTAATTACCAGTAACAAATACACAGGTTGACTCTGGATTTTACACAAACAAATCTTTCATTATTCTTTTTAATGTAAAAACAAACTAGAAATGGCATATAGTAAACATTTCATTTTGTCATTGTGGCTTTGATTATTATTTTAAAAAGTAGGCCTTGAGGTTCAGGTAACTTTTCCTAAATAGACAAAATGTTTTTTGAATATACATGCACCAAAGCGTTATGCACAATTTAATTGAAAGTATTACAATATTGTAATGTGATGAATTGAAGTTCAAGCTTTGAAAAGGATGTACAGATTGTCATTTTTTTAAAGTTTAATGATTCAGAAGTCTGAAGAACTTCTTTGAAGCATCTTCCATATGTCAGGGATGTTGCGTCCAAGGAAGTCACATCTACGAAAATAAACATTGAAATTATTCAAGTTAATAAGAATTCTGTGGATCATGTGTGAATATATCAATTGTAATAGAGACGAGCTGGAGCCATAATTATATGATGTTTCATTATAGCTTTTTAAAATTAACATAGTTATATTTCCAGTTTAATTAAACAAAAAGATGATGGCATGTTAAAATACTCCAAAAAGAACTTTTTAATGTGCAGGATGAGTGCCAATGTTGAAGATTAAACAACAGTTATAAAATGTTAATGACAACTCTTTCCTTTAAGAATTCACTATATTCTATTTCCCTTGAGTTTTCAATTTGCAGGTTTTGCACAATTATTTTAGAAATATATTGATAACTATGCATTTTTCTCAAGTTTCAGAGATGCAATCACACACAGACATGTAAATATGACAGTCAAGCTGTATCTGTTATATTGATTTATATTATTTGATAACATCTATTTGATAATACCTAAGACAAAAATTATCCTCTAATACAATATGTGTCTCTTACGATTAAAAGTCTTAATATTTTTAGCAGGAAGTGAAGGCAAATTCATAATGACATTGGTAAGTTAACTTTAACATGCAGGCATCCTAATTTCAATGGAAGAGACCTAGAACTTGATTAGATCTCTTGGTACAATATATACATGACTGGAGGAAGACATTGTGTAAATATTGTCTTACTAAATACATAGGAGACAAGGTAAGGTAGAACTCTGCACTGTATCTGAATTTGACCTTAAATCAAGCAAAATTTCCAAAATTAGGTACCAGTTTCACTTCTGGTGTGAAGACTTACAGTAAAACTAAGGTTAAAAACCACAAATAAATGTTTGCCAAAAGAACATACAGCAAAACCCAGAGAAGTGAAACAAGATATGCATAGCATCTCAGATATCTTTCCTGTTTTGTTTTAGAAGATTGTGGCCAGTGAGATTAGTATCCAACAATGTAGCATTAAGATTATTTTGTTCCTGAAGAGAATGTTGGTATAGAAATATGAAGAGTTGGGTCCTGGATCCTGCTATAGCCAAGATTTTATAAAAATATGCCTACTTTCATACTGCTGTATTAAAGCTGGAATTTAACAACATGGGTGTGTGAACATTATTTAAGGATGCAAGTTGTTATCTGTTAAACAATGCACCTATTATACCATTTGTTTAATTTAAAGGGATTATAATGGTAGCACAGAAGATATAAGAATAACTAAATTTGAAAACGAATGTGAAATATTGTTATTTTTTGGTTTCTCTAATTCATACACCATATCACATAGAGTTTTTCATGAGGAAATAAAAAATCCATGTAGGTTTCATCTTTCAAAAACTTTTGATATTTACAACGTGTGATATGCATCATTAAATATAATGCTTAACATAATTCAGAATTTAGGCTTTCTGGATTTTAATTGTCTCCATTACTTCCTGTCTATGCTACTATGTCTAGGTTTGCTCCCATCTATTTATCTAATTATAGTGTTTATGAAGTATTTAACATGTGCTGGGAACTAACCTTGATTATTGATATCATTTCTTTAATTTTTAGGCAAATATTACAGGATAGCAACTATTATTATATAAATTTTATGGAATAGGGTTTCACAATATAAGCCAAGTTTCTCAGACAACAAGTAGGTGATCTGGCGTTTCAACCCATAAAGACTGGTCTTCCTAGCTGGCATTTCTTACTGTTGACCTGGGATTATAGTTCAAGACAACAGAGATGATAATATTACTGCCATATGTGTCCAGTATATTCTAGGAGCACATTGAACTTAATATTCACAATATATCAATACATGTTTACTTAAATGTAAAAGATGTAGAAAATGTGTCTTGACAAAAATAAGGTCATGGATGAGTGACAGAACCTGATTTTAAATATGATTTTATTCCATAACTAGTGATTTTCTTTGATGCAATTCTGTTTTATTCCATGTTAATGTAATTATAGTAATGTATTTAAAGGCAACAAGTGATGACTATCACTTATGCATATTTATGAAGGGAATATGTTAGGTTAAATTGAATTTTAAGCTCAGTTTGCATAACAAAACTCAATATTGACACAGAAATTTGTAAAAATTTTAATTGATTCATTTTTGAGGTAAAGACAATCTAGGACACTCCTTTGCTTTATACATATCATTTACATTTGTTAACATTGATGTACAATTTGAAATGCCTGGAAAAGTGAACTTATAAACCTCCCTTCCCCCAAAACAAAACAAAACAAAACAAAACAAAACAAAACAAGACAAAGGTACAGTTATGAACCAAGTGGATCCTTTAGTTGATTGTGAAATCTCAATCAGATGCCTTCACCTGATTACTTACCCAAGCTGTACTGTTATTTTGGAACCAGTTAGCCTCTGGAATTTGAAATCCGGTTTCTACCGATCCGATCCATGGGAATGCCAAATCTCCTTTTTGGATGACCTACTACTTTTCTGGAAAGCAAGGTGAACACTTGTAAGCTCAGGTCGGAGTTAATCAATCCTTACTTTGGCTCTTTGACTTAAAGCAGAGCTCTAGGTTTCCCTCTGGAGTTGGAGTAAGCATGATAATTACATGCACCAGGACGCTCACTCTGTTGAAGTAGTATTAGCACCTCTGTTTTACATGTGTATGAGAAATGGGAGGGTTAGCTTCGTTATCTTAAGCACATTCAAAGAAACCACATAAAAATCCATGTATTTTCAGAATATTAATATGGTGAATATTTTAATTTAGATAAATTACTTTCCTCTTACGCTATTTTTTAAAATTTAAAATGAGCAGTTTAGAGTTTTCAAGCAAGATTTTACAGAACTTAGCGCATTCTAGGGCGATCAAAACAGTCTTATAACTCTAACAAACCATATATTAACAATTGAGTAGAACTGTCTTACGCTATTAGTAAAGGAAGATGGGCTGAATAAATGGTTCACTGCAATCCCTGCCTTAGAATGGCTCTTCTGGGGGAACGGTAACGGAGGGAAAGGAAAGGGTGCTGATGCTGAGACTGAGTGAAGAGATGTGTTTTTCATGTATTCATTTAAACCTCACCCAGAGAAGCTTTCTATGTGACAGTCTAGGTTTTCTTGCTTTAGGCATGTCTAGCTTCCAATGAAAAAAATCTACACCTCTTCATTATTAAATTGAAGTTTAAAAAAATCCATGCAGGGCTGCAACAAGCCAAATATAACTTTAAATTCAAGTATTATGAAAAAATAGCTTTATAAGAAAAAGAAATGATTTTGAGATGTTTCTGCTTGATGTATTATTATCATTTATGGTTATTAAGCCGAATCAGGAGAGATCCTGATCTTTAATGCATAACTTTCAGTTGGACTAAATTGAAACTTAAATGTTCTGAATGAAGTACACACAGGAGAAGCTAGGAGACTATGCCACATTGCAGAAATCTATTTGATTGTATAAATGTGTTAGACATTGTGTTGACTTATAAATGCAAAAGATAGGGAATAAGAGAGTTCATAAAAAAGCTTGTGGGAAATACAAGATCTAAATGAGTTATTTTGGAACAATGTAATTTTGAAAATATTACATAGTTTTTCATATGTATTTTTCATATGCTTTTTACAGACCTCTTTTGTGTATGGATTTTCATTTTTTTACATCAAAATACACATTTAAAATATTTATGTTCTTGAAGTTAGAGAGACTGAAAGATGGACTGTGACACAGAGAAGAGTGAACTGTCAGCTACTTCACTCTCCAGGTTTCTGCAATGGCAAACATTGGACCAAGCAATGGTCGGGAGCCAGGAGGCTCACCGCAACTCTCTCATGGGGAGCAGTGGTCTGATCTCCAGTGCCATTTCTGCTGTTTTCTCAGCTGTATTAGCACAGAGCTGGATTGGAAGTGGAGCAGCTGGGGCTTGGACTGGTGTCCACAGGGACTCAAAGGTGGCAGCTTATTCTGCAGCATCACAGTGCCAGTCCCCAAGTTTATGTTTTAATGTTATTTTGCCACAGTTTTTTGAAGTCTCATTATATTTTAATGATTAATATAAGACATGAAGAGATTGAAAGTACAGTAAATACCAAGATCAAGAAGCAAAACATTGGCAACACTTTCAGAATGAGAAAGCATTTTAAAGATCATTTTCCCCACAAAAACAAAGATATATGCTTCTACTTGTTGACTCTAAACCATATAATTGACTCGTTGAAAATCTCAGTGAGGTCACCACTACATAACTGACTTTTCAGTAGTTTAATAGAGTAAATATTCCTTCTGAACACCATCAATTACTTTTCTGTTCTTTTCTATCAGCTGACATTACCTAATTGAGAAGTAACACAAAAATGTGATTATGAATGTTTTTGCTATAAAGAAATGTGGTAAGCCATTGAAGAGATGAGAATATTTACCCTGATTGTATTATTATATAATCTATACATATTAATGAAACATCACATAACATCCCCCAAAAAGAAACTTCTGTATGATTACCAAAATAAAAAAAGATAGTAGTAAAATAGAAAAGTTGCTAAACAAAAACATACAACTAGTAATAATGAAAAATCTGTGTTTAGATTTTTCCTAGCATAATTTACCATATGCATACTGTGTATAAAATTTGGAGGAGATTGATTTTGAATAAATGAATATTTTCTTTCATAAACCTATCATTAACTATTCTAAGAATGATGAAAATTTGACGTCAGTAACAGAGAAAATTATCTCTCAATTTTACTGATAACACCCTTTGTTCTTAACAGCACTGAAAAATAGCAGATGATTTATTAAAATTCTCTGAGATTTATAGAAACAAAGGAAAAAAACCGATTTTTATTGCTGCATCTTAAAATCAAGAAGCATGGCTTTATTTTAATTAAACTCTTTAAAAAATGTAGAAAGACTTATTTATTTATTTGAAAGGCAGAGATGGGGGTGAATGAGAGGAAGATAAAGCAAATCTTCCATTTATTGATTCACTTCCCAAATGGATTTAATCATTGGATCTGGGTTTGGCTGAAGCCAGGATCCAAACACCATGTGGCTCTCCTACATGAAGTGGCATAGCTGTTATATCATGATACTGGCCCCTTTCCACAAACTTTATGAAAATACTTTATTGTGGATTTCAAAACTCTTTCCACAAAAATAAACTTTTCTACTTCTATTTCTATGCCAAATTTGAAGTTCCCTTGCATTTTTCAACTTGATAATCAGCTGGAAATATATTTTTTGTGAATTTAGCCTAAAACTCATAATCAAGAATAATAAAAACAACATTTCTCACTCATGCTTTAAGCTCTTTTGATATATTAGTATATAATAGCTATCAAGAGGAAAAAACCCTATATTTTTAATAATCTTTGCATATCTAAATGAATTTATAAACTTATATGAAATTATTTTCCTTTGATAGTTACACAATGCTTCCTACAGATGTCTATGTTATTATACCCACAATCTGCCATTATGGTACTTCATTTTTTCAAGTGGAAAAATGAAGAGAGAGAGGAAGAGAGACAGAGAGAAGGGAAAAGAGCTTCCATCCACTCCGAAAATGGCTGTAATGGCTGTAATGGCTGGGGTGGGCCAAGTGGCTGGAGTTTGTTCATGGTCATCCACAGGAGTTCAGGGGTCCAAGCATGTGGGCCATGTACTTTAGTCAAGAGTTGGATGGGAAGTGGAGAGATTGGGACTAGAACCAGTGGCTATTTGGGATGCCAGTATCTCAGGTGAGGCCTAACCAGATATGCTACAACGCTGGCCCCATGTGTATGCTAATACATAGATAACACGATTTCATGAATAGGGTTAAGTTGTAAGACTTTGAGATAGGAATATTGTCCTGAGTCATCCTGGTGGGCTCAAATCTATTCCCTGAGGTCCTGAAAAGCAGATGATGACCAAAGATGAAGGGACAGGGAGAATATCAAAGGCGGACTTCATTAGGCATTGGCGTCTTGATGATGCAAGGAAGGGTTAAGAGGTCAATGAATAAGGTGGCTGCTGGCAAATCTTAAAAGAAAATGAGAAAACTGAGGAAGCTGGTACTGCAGCTGCTAAGGAATGGAATTCTGTCATAAACTTCAATGAGTGGAATGTTTGTTTTCCCCTGAAGTCTGCAGACATCTTGATTTCTTCTATACTTGGATGACAGACAACACGAAAGAGAAATAGGCAGAGTAATAGACAGGAGGATTTTAAAGGTTAATTTGGGCTAGGAATGAGTCACATCACTAACTTAACAGACTGGGGAAGTTGCTGAGAATCCTACACAAGGGACTTTAAAAGGTTTGTGGAAAATACCTATTGTGAAAAGTTACACAAGAGCCTTAAATTTTTAAATATATTTTAAATATAAATTGTATATGCATATAAAGTATATAATATATGTATAATTAAATATATATAATTATGTAATATGCATGCAGGGGTCAGGAAGAGAAAGAGTGAGATTGAAAAACGGGGAGGAAGTGAGATCTGCTGGCTCATTTCTGAAATGCCTGCATTGACAACACTTGGCCAGGAGTAGGGAGCTCAACCCAGCTCTTCCAAACAGATGACAGAGACATGACTGCTGGAAAGATCACCACTGCCTCTCATGGTCTGCAGTGTCTCCAAGCTGGAGTCAGAACCCGGAACAGGAAACTGAAACTAGGTGTCCCAACAGACCAAGTCATTGTTCCTAAACTTATTTCTCATATCATTCAACACACTTTTGAAGAATCCTGGCATATGGTGCATGCACAGGGAAGATATGATAGGTGTTAAACTGCTAAGATTTTTTTTTTGAAGATAATTATTTTGCATTGTATTAAGTCCATTAGTTTGTTGTAATCTATTATAGTAGCAGTATAGAACTAGTATATTTTTTTCTTTTAAGTTTTAAAGTTTAAATGTAAATGCAATGTTCATATATAGGAAATACTAAGATAATATGATATTGGGGGAAGTTTAATCCTTAAATTCTTGTATTAGTTATTTTGTCATTTTAAGTGCAGGAATGAAGTAAGATACCAGTCTCTTACTCTGGTTTAAAGGAAATCCGTATAGGACACTCCCTTACTCTCAATAATCCCTGGCCTCCACCTCCAGTTATGAGATATGCTTTATTTGGTTAAAAAAAATGTCTAGTAAACCTGTGAGTCTCCCTTTGTAGCTTTGACTCATACAAAGAGAATATACATAGTCCACACACACACACAAAGAAGTAAGCTAGAATTCTCAGGTGGCATTTTCAGATGAAGAGTCAGAAGAATTGAGAAACCAGTCTTTTCCAAGTGTTTATAGGAATGGCAAGAAGGTGAAGGTAATAGTTTCATAAAAGAAGTCTTTTGACTATGTTGCCAGTAAAAATCAAAATTTTACAGCTTGAAAGAATTATAATGGTCTTATAAGTCATTATAAATTTGTGTATTGGTTCCCACTACAAATTTATTTTTTAATGTAGGCAAAAGTGATTAAAATTTTAATTTAAAACTCT